CAGGAGCTGCTGGCGGAGCAGCCTCCCGGAGGCACTGCTGCAGTGTCCTGCCGGTGGAAAACGCAGATCCTGGGGCAGTTCTGACCTTGGCATCAAAGATAAATTCCAGCATCGGTTCCTCCTGCATCTTGGGTTTTTGCTCGTAACTCCTGAATCTCCCAGTGTTTCGATGTGACAATTAAAGCTTTAGCGTCACGTGGAGTATTTCTGCTTGTGAGCACTTTGAAGTCCATTTAGGGAAGGGCCCCTCTGTACCACTGCTGCATCTCTGAGCTGGACAGGGACTGTTTGCTTGGGGGTGGGGGTAAATTATCTCTTAGCAGCGCTGACAATGGTCATCTTTTTTTTTTTTTTCCTTGTTTTTTTTTCAAGGCCAGCATTAGTTGTCTGTCTGTGTGCTTGGCCTTTTCTGACATTCGGAATTCGCTAAAATTCAATCATGACGGATGAAAACCAGCTTCTCTCGCTATTTTTTTTTTTTTAATTACATTGCATTCAGTTCTTTGTAGATGATTTTTAGCTTGAGTCTGCGATCGGGACAGGGAATTGTTCCCTTCTTCCCCCCTGCAGCACGCAGAGGAGTCCCGCGTGGTTTCCATCTGCGTGGTTTACAGGGGAACCGTGCTGTGGTCAGCAGCACTGGAGGACTGCGAGGTATAGATTAAAGGCTCCTCACCAGGAGCAGATGACACTGCCTCCTAAATTAACGTGGTCATGTGCTACAGGCATTAACATCTGCACGTTTGAATTCTTGAGATGACATTTGGCATTGTTAATTACCGTGCCATTATCCGTAACTTGTGTCTGTAAGCGCCATGTGAGTCATGGAGCATCTGCTTCTCTGCGCAAGGGCGTTCCGCTGGAAACTGGCAGTGACTTCACTGCCCCGGCTAGGGCCTCATAGGTGCAAAAGGACAGTAGAAAAGAGACTGAGCCCACAAAAGTGGGTTTGCAGGGGTTGTTACGAGCTCCAAAGGCGAGCTGATGCCGTAGGAGGGGAGCGCAGCTCCCAGCGTGGTGGCTGGCAGGTAGCTGGGTTGGTTTGTTCCTCTGTGTGCAGCGTGGTTTTATTACTCTTCCTAGAGCATGTGAGAGGCATTTTTCTAATTTTCATAGATATGTAAGACTTTAAATCATTTGAATGACTCACTTTTTCGAATGAGTCTTGTGCTATAGCAGAGATAAAGATTCAGTAGCAACTTAACTGAGTGGTTGGGGGGTCTTTTTCCTTTATAAAATGTGCCGCTGTTATAGAAAGGAATTATATTGTTTCATCAGATTGAGACAAGGAGAAAAGAAAGGTAATATTTGTGATGCCAGGAGGTAGTGTTACAAAAATACAGGAAATGAGCAGCATTTTTGGAATGTGTTAGATGATACCAGTGTTGTATAGACACAAGGTGAGACAAAGCACAGTGAGGGTCAGGGAGGATTAACAGCTCTTACTCCTTCTTTATCCCCTACAGTGCATGTTTCTGTTTTTTTCACTACTGAAGGATGTGAAGCTGAATCCCTGGGAGGAGACGGGTTTTTCTTCTTTTCTTTCCAGAATCTGTGGCTTTAAGCATTTCCAGCTGCTTGTCTTTCCTGCATGTTTCCTCTTTTCCTTCCCCTCCGCAACTTCTCCCCTTGGCCGCTTTTTTTTTTGCAAATACGTTTGGCCAGCGGAAGGGCAGAGGCAGTGCCGCCGTGAGCACACGCTGCAATCGCAAGGTGCTCTCGCAGGGTTTCACATGCGCTTGGGTTAGTCCTGGACATTCGTCATGTTGAAGCCTTCAAGGGGTTTATCCTGCAGATGTTCTCAGATGTGTCACCACGTGCTTGGTAAGTGTTGAACTGCATTGGGGGTAAACTCCCAGCTCGCTCTATAGGTGACAAACTTGCTGTCAGTGTTGTTCTCTGAACGAGCTTTCTGTGAGCTCCAGAGGGCAGGTTGCTTCATTAAAACTCTGTGTGCAGTCAAGCCTGAAGCACTAACAGCCGAATAAGTAACTTGTCAGGTAGCGTCCACTGTTGTGCCTGTCAAGGATATCTAGAAAGAGCAACGGTGCTGTGAAATGCTGAGGCAGAAATTCTGTTTGTAGTGGAAGTATTGGAGGAAATAGTCCTCCACATGCGTCCTATATTTTAACTTTTTATTTTACTGAAATCAGTCACTCTCTGAGTTACAGAATTCCATGTGAGCTTGGGATTTCCAGCTGAAGCCCTGCTAGATTTCTCAATTTTGCCTGCTTCTGATCAATCTGATGTTGGGAGGCACGTGAGGGCGCTAGACACAGGATGCGTAGCGCTCCTCCAGGCTGTCCCAGGGTGTCCAATTCTCGCTATACTGTAAGCAGTGAGTTGGAAGTGCTTTAATAGCCTTTTGAAAGCCTGGAGTAGGGGCCAATGGGGATTTTTTTTCAGGCAGGCAGCCAGTTCCCAGCTGCGTGTTTCCAGTTCTGAGCCCTGTCACCAGATGGGGTCACTGAGAGGCTGTAGCTGATGTGGACCTGGCACCAGGGGCTTTCTGCTTTTTATTTGTAAAATGGAGATTGATATTATTTCAGTCACTCATTAACTTGGTTTTGCCACATCTGTGGTCTCTGGACTAATGCCTCTTGTTTAGATCTTCTTGGATTTTTTTTTGGGGGGAGCGGTTCTTTTGTTTTTTAAGCGTATACAATGGGGCTGGTACAGTTGACATCTGGTTTCACTGGAAGCTTCCTAGTCCTCCTTCACTTCCATTTAAAAACAACCTTGCAAAACAAAAACTTGAGTCATGACTCAGTCTGACAAGAAAGCAATTCATTAAGTAGGTATTAAAGCTTCTATTATCCACCATGCAGGTCGAATACTATTTCTGTAACATCAAAACCACGCTCCAGAAGAAAAGACCTATAGGCTTTGTTTCTAATTTGTGAAGAAAAGAAGGGCTTTAGCATTGTAATCAAGAAAAATCTGTTGCTGAGCCCAGTTAGAAGGAAGAGGGCAGGAGGCAGTGTGCCATGTATGCCAGGGTGTAAAGAGCTGGTAATGGGAGGGGGGAAAAAAATTTAAAAGTGAGTTTTGAACTGTAATTTCAGAAGGCGAGAGATTACAGCAGCGAGCTATTTAGGCACGCAAACGGAGACATCTGAATTATTTTTAGACAGAACAAGAAAGATAATCAGTGGATCTGGAGTTCAGATAGGAAAAAGCAAATAGAAGCGAGCTCTGAGTCAGTGGAGGAGACTGACCCTGGAGAAAAGCCTGTCTGAAAGCTTCCCTCCTGGTTTCTGAGAACGCAATATCCCAGTTGTGCTAGCGCCTGCAGGTTAGGCTTTTTTCAGCCCTTGCAAATTATAGTGGGAAACAATTTATTAGTCTCATTTTAGCTCCAGTTTAAGAAGTAAACAAGGGAGACTTGAGGCACACATTCGAGTCAGTACCACGTGGAAGTCGGGTTGCTTTATCGACCACCTGTGACGTTGCACAGTAAGTTAATGTTGCGCTGCGCCTCGGTAGCACCTCGTCATTTTTTGCCTCTATTAAAATTGTTGCGCTGCGTCTGCTGATGCAAGTGGCCCGGCCTTGTAGCTTTGGGATTTGAAAAAGTGCGTTATCCAAGGATCCCGCCCTCATAGGTTTTGTTTGGGGTTTTTTTTCCCTGCTTCAGGTTCTAAGTTTCAGAGTATACAATACTTTGTATTTTTCTTTTTCCTTGGCATCTCTCATAGGACATGTTAGCAGTAAATCTTGCTTTTGAAATTGTTGGGTGTGGCTCAGGCCATCGTGCAAGGCAACGACAATCCACAGCTCTCGCTGCCTTCAGGAGGAGTTGGGTGTTTGGCACCAACCAGATACAAGAATGCACAAAAGAAGAGAACACAAGAATGACAATTAAAAAAAAAGCAACGACTCAAACACAGAAAAGCCACCCTTAAAAAATTAATGAAATCATAAATAGTCTACAGTGCTTTACTTATGGCTGTGTGCTGGCTGGATAATGGAACAGAATTCAAATTACTGGATGCAGGGATGAATCAGGCATAATATTTCTTTTCACAAATTTGGGGATATCAGTTTCAACAACCACATGTTTCTGTGAGCCTGGAAGGCTCACTTTTAGCATCATTAGGAAATTTGGGGTATTTAGCGAAATCCTTGCAGCTATTATCAGTCTTAACTACCTGGTTTTGTCTAGTACTAGATGGTGTTTGTCAGGAGCTGGCACCGCGCTGTTCTGGAGTCTTCTTGAGGGTGACAAAGCTCTTGGCAGC